AACGAGTATTGAATCGGTGTGCAAGGCGTCGGATTGCCACTTCGACGAAAATGAGCCGAGGCAACTGTCATTCAGTAACTCAATTCAAGGGATCCAGAAGTGCTATGACCTGGTTTGCCATTGTAAAAAAATGTTGTTAGGTCGAGCAAGATGAGCATAGAAATCACGCCCATTTCCAGCATCCAAGCTGGAAATGTGTACATTCCGAGATTGGAAAGCAGCCTGACTACATATTCGGAGGACCGGTTAGAGCTTTCACACCTCACATGGCTTGAGCATTGAATATATATACTTTAAACAATGCCGTATAGCTAGACATGCGTCAACATTGAAGGATTGTAGTCTGGTTTATTTATATAAAAAAGAACTGCAAGTATAGGTTTATCATATATATGGGGTATATTCACCCTCTTTCGTTAAGGTGATGTAAGACTGGCAAGTGACCTTTACAACAAAGCTATGAATAGCCAATTTCATAGTCTTACTTTCCCAAAGGTATTGCCATCTCGGCCGGAGTTGACTACAGTTTCGACCTCGCATGAGCTGGTCTAATCAGTACGACCAACGGGACTCATATGATTGTGCGAAGATTTTACTGCCAGTCCTGAATAGGGTGAATACACCGCATATATATGATCCACTGGTAGTCTCCTAAACCACTTTCTAAAGGAAAACCAAGTAATGTAATCGATTGAAATGGCAAATACCACTTTCTTTCGTCGACAATAAACCCACATAAATGATAAATGGAAAAAGCTTAGGCTTCCTTGAAATGCACATCTGCCCTGTGACCCGAGGGCACATGTGACAGTGTGGCATAACGGTTGACGTGTCGAGATTATACGCTGCACTACCATAAACCGGGTTCGAGTCCCGCTGGGGAGCTGATAAGACCAGTTTGGGCGTGGCTGAAACTGCTGTCCACCCATGCTTAGATTATGATTACTTTTGGGAAGCAAGGCTATGAAAAATGCAATGTTACTTTAAATCATACTCATAAACTTGTGGGAAAATTTAATTGCCAGTCCTTTATCGGCTCAACGAACTAGGATAAAGACATCTCATACAAATGTGTGCGGTTTATTTATAAACGAAGTATAAATTGATCAACCAAACCATAGGATACCTTATTTAAATGGCAAAATTAGGTATAAGAAGTGAATAGGATTGCAGCCAACCACATTTTCTCTTGGTTCACCATAATTGGTGCAGCTTTTCGTAAACTATAATGTTTCGCTCTGACAATGTCTGTCTGTCGCTGGACAGTGAGCCGATGACTTGTTGGCACAATGCTACATTCTCTTCTCAAAACCAAACCTTTTTCGGTTTCCAGTGAGAACAACTCACGACTTTTATTCGATCAACATTTTGCTTGAATTGAAAATGCAATGGTACAGTAAATCATTAAGAAGCGCTTAGAAGCCCATCTTTTCTTCATATAATATGTGAAAAGTCAGATGAGGACTTGGCAAGGCTGAAATGGTCGTCCAGTCTGGACGGTGCAGTAGTCTTAGCAAATGATGTTTATTGGGATTGTGAAAGAGCTCAAACAAATTCTTTATTTCATTATGAAAGCCCAAGTGACCTCTTGTGGCGTTGATGCCGAGTTTTTGACTGTACATTTATAAAATAAGAAGCCTGGGCTCCTTAAAATGACAACTTTTTACACGATGAGCTAAGTAGACCATTGAATTTAACGTAGTCTTGCCTTTTAAACGCTATTCCCATCCAAAGTGTAATGCATTCTCGACCTCGCCTCCTCGTCTCCTAAAACATTTCCAGCGGGACTCGAACCCGGTTAGTGCATCGGACAATTGAGACGTCGCATTGCCACGAGTTCCATCCGGTCACAAGACAGCAAGTTAGGCCTATACCATATCAAAGTCATATAGATGGATGGTCACCAAAGTGGATATGTATCAAAACTTTCAGTAGATCTTGAATAAGAGTTGTCTGCACTTTTGATGAAGGACTGAGAAATGAGTTCTCCCACAATCATATGAGTAGGCCAAGAATTTTTAGTGAATTTCACATTACCTTAATTTCAAAAAAGGTATTATCCTACCTAATTGTTGGGA